ATAATACTGGTAGGATGCATGCACATCGAGGGAGTCGCCGAGTCTGATTGCAATAAGCGCAGTGATGTAGGGAAGGAAATAGTCGGTGCCATGCTGCAGGCTCACTGGCCAAGATGGCTCAGGAATACCATAGTGTCTGGCTGCACTGTAAAGTTCTGACCGTTCATACTTGCCGTAGAGCTGCAAAAGAAGCACCGTCTCTGGAGATTGAATGACCGGCATGGCTTAGCCATGCATCCAACGCTCGAGCACTGAACGGTTAATTGGGTCAACTGGAAACAGCGGAAAAACCCCGACCCGCGACCCCGAGAAAAACAGGAAAACGAAAAAGAAGGAGAAAAGGCAGCTGATGGTCTCAGGGCAAGGTTCAAACGCGATAAAGCAGCGGGCCTTTTGTGCCAGTCGTGTCAAAGGTGCTAACTTCCTTCCTCGTGAGCGCTACCGCTGCTCCCCTCACTTGCCACACATGTACAGAACCGTGATGAACTGCAGGAGTGCTCGCTTCGATCCCTTGCTCACTAAGGAGATTGGGGCCCCCCACTTGACTGCAATGGTTTTCACCTGCTCCACTGTGTCGGATGCCAGCTCCTGCTTGATGAGATCAAGGTAGGTCGCTTGGTTGGACAGCGTGCGTTCGTGTAGCCATGCCTTGAAGACCTTGTCCGTGAGGCTGGTGGGAAGTGGTACCTGTTGACCTTTGGGATTTCCTTGACGTAGAAGTTCTGAGTCTAGTGTGATGTCCGGGGCAGTCTCCGGGGTCTTTCTCTTTGCCGGTCGTCGCTTAGGGGCTGGATCAGCCTCTGGGGGTGGAACTGGTAGGGGAGGTCCTTGAGCATCTGAGTTGGCCGCATTGATGTAGAGGGACTGGTCAGAGCGGCCGGGCGTGGGGGTCCAGGACGCGGCATTGGAAGGTGACGAGGATGACAGCTTCTTATCCGGTGTAAGAGTGATGCCCTTGTTCTTGTAGCGCTCCAGCTGTTGTTCCAATTCGGCAATTTTGTGGCGAGTGAGGTTCTCCTGCTTTGCGGGCTGCAGTGACTCCATGAGATCCACGATTTTGAGCGCAAGCGGTTCCATAAACTGCATAGCCTCGTTGCGCTTATCCGGCGCATTGTCCGCGTGGAGAGAGCGAGCTGTCCTGTCGATGTCGACCTCCCTGCCTCTCAATGCTTTGAGAATGGATGTCAATAGGACTGCCTCAGCTATCGTCTGAGCCATGACTGGTGTGCTGTATCGCCCGTTTGACAGCGCTCGTGATGCATGATCTTCTGCTCCTCCTCGAAGAAGTCGTGTCAATGGAAGATCCAGGATAGCTGTTCCTGCGAGCCCGACTCTTCTGGACCACTGAGTGGGTTGAACGTGACGGTACAGCTGCAGGCCACGGACCTCCGTCTTGTCGAGGAAGATGTCGTCAGATTGGAAGGTGCTGGGGAGTAGCTGCGAGTATCGAGGCTGAGTGTACTGCGTTGCATCACCTTGGCCTAGAGGTGCCCGAACTGGAGGTTGAACTGGCGGTGCTGGTGGTGGGGGACGAGGACCTGTCTGCATGTGGTTTGTTCCACCACCGTGATAGTTGTAAAACTGACCGGGAGGTTGAGGAGGAAACTGGTGAGCCATGTGTGGAGGCCGAGGAGGATTGACGCGATGCGCTCCTTCCTCTCGAGGTTGATGCTGCAGGGTTCCATCCGATTGGAGCTCAAATAGACCTCCTGCTGGGACTGCGGAACTGACCATGATGGAAGGTACGAGGATCCCGGATGCGAAGAGGAGGAGGGTGCCGATGTCGCCGGCCATGAATAGTTCCACTGAGAAGCCATCACGAGATGGGGGTTTGCCGTCAACACTTGCTAATAGATTAAAAGCTAGGGATACGCCACACATTGCCGAGACGGCACACATTGTCAAAACGGCACCCGAATTTCAACCAGACTCAGGGCAGTTTGAAACCGGGAAAAAGCAGTAGTCACACGAAACATCAAAAAGGCGAAAGAACCCGCAGTAAGACCAACACTGAAGTCGTGCTTGAATGAGGCTCTGGCGTGCACTTTTTGTCGCAAAATATCGTCGGTGGTCGAAGACGGCAGTGTGGCGAAGTATGCTCTTATTCGCAATGAAACATCATTAATTGTCATTGGTTACAGCAGCTCCTGGTGCAGGTTCACGAGCGGAGGACACCGGCGGGTGGCTTCGTATCGGTAGGCCATGCGAGTCCAACGATCTGGCTTGCCTCCGGGATCACCATCCAACACTTGCCCGACACATAGTGGATGACATCAGGACGTTCACTGGAATCCAGGGCCTCAATGCAAGCTTGCTCTCCTCCCGATCGAATCGGCTGACAGGTGCCGACAGCGCGTCCAAACAACAGCAATTGGGCCATGTTAAAAGACATGCTCCAGTTCTGGCTCATCGTGCGAGCAATTTCTTCAGCGTCATAGTCGGCGTGTCCAGTGATCTTCCAGCCCTGGGCGTAAAAGGCTGGGCACTCCGAGGAGTGCTGCCGGGAAGGATGGATCTGTCGGCTCCGCAGGATGCCTCTAGTGCCGCCGACACTGGATGCGTGAGTCCAGAGCAGCATGGGTCGCGTCTTCGTCGGTTCTTTGAGCCGAACTGTAGCGCCAAGGTAGGGGACGGTCAGCATGAACCAGTGCGGGGTGATCTTATAAAAGTGATGTTCCGGGTTGACCTTCGCATAGTTCAGAGTGGAGTGCTGAGGCGGTATGCCGGCTGCATTCAAGGTAGCGGCCACATAGTCCATCTGCTCCTGATTGACTGGGATCCCATCGCGGAGATACGGTGCGGCAAGCACCTGAAGTTCATTCCTCCACGGGTCAGACTCCGGGTTGGGAAGCAGGATCAGCGGTGGGTGCGCCTGCGGATTTGGACGTAGTTGCATGCTCCTCGAGGACGACCCCACATCTGGGTGAGCACCTGTGGCCTTTGAGGCTGGAGCCGATGGGGCACTGCTTCTGCTACGCGGGAGTGGAGATCGATTGCTTCTCGGTCGTCGGGATGAGGCTTTAGTTGCCGTAGGCGCCCGGGATGAGGACTTGGCTGCTGTGGGTGCCGACACGGCAATATCCGATGCTGCCGTGATGGAGTTGTCCGATGTTGAGTCCCTTCGGGAGATCGGTGGTGGCGTCCTGGAGCGAGCTCGACCTCGCCGCTGGGGGTACTGACTTGGAGTAGGGGGAAGCGTTGTGGGAACGTGACCGATCTCCCTCCGTTGTGTGGCGTGACCTGGATGGTGGGTTGGGCGGTGGAAGCATCTGACCTGATGGGGTTGCCGTAGGGATCGGTGCGATAGGGGTCGGTGCTGTGGTCATAGGTGGGCATGCTGTAGTTGAAGCTGTTGGGGTAGTTGGCGTCATTGGAGTCATTGGAGTCATCGGTGTGGCCGGGCGTGCTTTCACCAGGATTTGCGGCAGAGGGCCAGCTACTGATGCAGGCCAGACATGCAGGGTAGGGATCGATGCCGAGGCGTCGCCGGGAGCAAGAGCTGGAGCCGCAGGTTTGGTAGCCCTTGAGGTGCTGGACACCGCGCAAGATATGCTAGAAGTTGGTGTCACAAGCGCACTCCTAGGGCCCGCAGTGTTCCTGGATGCCTTGGTCATGGGGCCTGCTGAGTTCGACATCGGGCCTGCGTTGGGCCGTGGCATCTGTTGCCAGCAATTGCGAGCCAATAACCAACTGGCGGTGTCATGGAGTCAAGCCTGATATGTCGGGTAGTCTGGCAACCCGTCAAGTGGAGAAGTCAAACGTGAGGTGATCTGGGGTGCTGAAAAGTCCGGGACATGTCCAAGCCTGTGGTGAATGGTCAACGGCGAAAAGTCAACAGGGGGATTTCCAGAGTCGCGAGCGACAAGGTCCGGTGGCTGTCTGAAGAAGGTGTCGGTACATGGGTCAAAACAGGTGCCCGCAAAGGGGATCAAGACACTGACCGAAGCCCGGACGCAGTGCCTAAACACACTTGATATGAGACGGCAACAATGCAAGAGTGCATCCCCAAGTATCTGAAAAGTGGAGTTTCGTCAGCTAGCCTTCCCGATCTGTTCGCTCGCCGCGGCTACTCGTCAGTGCCCATGACTACCGCGACGAGGTACTAAGAAAGGGGGTCGGTTTGCTGGCATGGGCATACTCCAGAAAAAGAGAGAGAGGCACGACCGCAGAACCCCTTAGGAACAGGGGGCCACACACACACACACACACACACACACACACACACACACACACACACACACACACACACACACACACACACACACACACACACACACACACACCCACACACACACACACACACACCACACACACCACACACACACCACACACAACACACACACCCACACACACCACACACACCACACACCACACACCACACACCACACCCACACCCACACCCACACCCACACCCACACCCAACCCACACCCACACCCACACCCACACCCACACCCACACCCACACCCACACCCACACCCACAC